GTTCTGAGCTTGCTGAATGCGTTGAATGACACGAGCTTATTGACGAATACAGCGATTCGCTGAATCGTCATTCATAAATTTTTTAGCGAATTTTAGACTCGTAGAAATTATTGAATATACGCTCCAAAATGTGGGACAAAATTCTACGATTACTTCCAGCCCTACACAAGGTAAGCTGTTCCGTTATAGTGAATGGTGATATCTGTTCGTTTGTGTTTATTCGCGATTATCAATAGAACTCAGTTCGCTCGTTTTCAAGACTACGAAAAGAGCTCACCTGTGAGCATTGCGCAAGAAATCAAATTCACAGCCGCACAGAGCCCCGATTTTAATCCGCTCAGTAAACTGAATATTTTTTTTTCAATTTTAACAATGCTCAATATTCTTCGCAATCCTGCGCTTACAATTAAAACGATATGCAGTCAATCAATATTATTGTTCTTAGCACTAGAAGCCGTCATGAGAATGAGATCAGACTCTTCCTCCGAACGCTTTCGCCTTTCGCCTGCTGCACAGCCACAAGATAGTCTAATGACGCATATTTCTGCAAAAAAATCTCCAACTAAGTATGAAATTCAGCTGTCTGACTATTTTTATGCGCTGCGAAAATATGTTAAAGATTTGTTTACGGGAATTCTTTCGGTGCTTTAAAAAGTTTGTCTGATTTCATAACTCAATGTGGGAACGAAATAAATTTGACTTCTTCATTGGCGAAGCCAGCCAGTTCCGTGAGAAATAACGCATCAATAGGTGTTCCTGTGAAATGACTTTTCTGAAGACATTGGCAAAGCATTGTTGACAGAAGAAATTTATGAGTTGTTTTCTCTCGAACACAAGCATTTTGACGTTCAAAAGAATTATCAAAGGAAGTGAATGAAATTCACAACATCATGCCACAGCAAATCTTTCCGCATTCTTTCGAAAACCTTTCAACGAATCGTTGATATCAATGCAGGTCTGCGCACTTTTCTGATTACTTTTTTGATGTTTCAAAGTCAAATAAATTCTTCTGATTGATACTTCTGTCTGCTTATTTGTGGCAGACGAAAATTTCTCAAAGGAATTCGTTTGTAGACAACGCCAATTCTCGTTCACATACTCATGATGGTGTCTGTGTCGTTGTATGCGGTTTTTGGAGCGCTAGTGATGAGGCAGCTTGAATCCAAGCAAGTGATTGGTTCAGGTGAGATGACGAAAGCAATCACTCATGAAACGAACATAGCAATTAGCAATGCCGACAATAAAATCGGTTTGTTTATGGGTTCACATCATCTTATAACAGCAAATTCCAAATATTTTCTGTCGCTTTATGAGGCCATTAAAACGCATCGTTCAAAAGTAGTCATTAGCAAAAACTGAGCAGAATGAACGCATGATTGTCGAAAAATTCAGGAGTATGCTTAACTCAGCAGCATTTTGAATTCAGCAGCAGAATTGAACACAGATTCAGCTGACTTTGTTTCAGCGCATTTCAACGGAACTGAAATTCCACCGAAGAGCGTTCGTAGGTTACGCCACGCAAAAAGACGACGATTATTGCTTGACGAACAACTCGCATTCAGGCATGAACCCGAGTCGGAAGCTGCAATTATGCAGAATCACAAGTGTATTCTCAGTGCCATAAAAGTATCTGTTCTATTTTTGCTTGACAGAAGATGTGGCATGATTAGTGCAAAGAATGCAAAGATTCAACAAAATTTCTTTCACGAGATCTTGGCGCATACAACGAGTAATTCGCGAAACTAAAACACTGATAGTCTGCTCTTCGAATATTTGTTCAGTTGAGTACTTAAGGAAGTGATGAAACGCGGTAAATGCTTGAGCGATTCGTTAACAAACGTTGCTGTTTCAAAAGTTGATCACTGCTATCGAACACATTTTAAAAGCACAGCAAAGTTGAATCGCTTACGCTCAAGGCGTTCCACAGACGATCCAGGTGAGTGCCCAATGCTGGTTCGGATGATAAGATTCGAGAATATTATCGGAATAGTCTCAAAAAAAATACTGTGTTGATTCGAGATTTTTTGGAATGGTTCAAATGAGGGGTATGCTCCTATTCAATGTTTCAACACCATCACTTTCGACGGTATATTTACAAGAGTGATTCATATCCGTTAAGATATTTGTAATCAGTTAAGGAGGTGATGCTGCTTCGCTGGATCAAACTTTAGAACGATTGGAGCCGTGGTCTTTCG